GCCATTCACAGCAATATGGATGGACCGGGAGATTGTCATTCTAAGTGAACTAAGCCAGAAAAAGAAAGGAAAATACCATATGATATCACTTATATGCGGAATCTAAAAAAATGACACAAATGAACTTAATTACAAAACAGAAACAGACTCATAGACATAGAGAACAAACTTATGGTTACAAAGGGGTAAAGGAGGTGAGAAGGGATAAATTGGGAGTTCGAGATTTGCATATACCAACTACTATATATAAACTAGATAAATAAGAAATTTATATTGCATAGCACAGAGAACTATATTCAGTATCTTGTGTAACCTATAATGAAAATATGAAAATGAATATATATGTGAATGTATGACTGAAACATTATACTGTACACCAGAAATTGTACAACACTGTAATGACTATACTTCAATAAAAAAGAATGCAAATTTAAAAAATGGAAAAAAAAGAGAGACAGAGAAATTGAAACGGGATGTCAAAGAATACCAAAGACAAATATCTGAACTATGTTTCAACTAGATGAACAGATTTCAGGGATTTATTTACATTTCTGTCTTCCCTAAGAGAACGTGCTTTTGTAAAGGTTAGGTACAATGTCTCATCCATTTTTACAACTCTGTATACGGTACCATGCCTAAATAGACTTGTTGAATGATTAAATATATGAATGAGTGTCAGCCAACCAAGAATCAGTATTTATTAGCTCTAGCTATAATCCGTTTATCCCATTCTGGTATATTTTATTTTATTTTTCCTTAACTTGTGTGGGAAATTAGCAGCCTATTTTTACATGTCAACTTTCTTTGAGTTCTTAGAGACATTCCTCACACGCTGGTGAAGGCATTTCTGCTTGTGGATTCTCTTATGATTCCTTCTTTCCATTACTTGGAACATATTTCTCACTCAGAAACTTGTCCTTGACTTTTGTCAATAATTTTAAATGAAGAGTGTGTACCACATCTTTCAGGAATTTCAAATTCCTTAAGATCACCTTTGCATCATTTCTTTTTCCTTTCCCACCTCCACGTTAGTATTTCTCTAGATGTCATCTTGCAATTTTAAATGAAGAGCGTGTACCACATCTTTCAGGAATTTCAAATTCCTTAAGATCACCTTTGCATCATTTCTTTTTCCTTTCCCACCTCCACATTTGTATTTCTCTAGATGTCATCTTGCAATTTTTTTCTACCTCTTATGTATGTGACTTTAGGGTTTCTGTGCCAAGACCATTATAACTGACAAATATCCTTTGCAAAAGAACATCCTGTCCATATGTTAGGCTTGAGGTGAGCCCTGTGGTTTAAAACATGACCTGACAATGAAGCAGAGCATTTTAAGCTAGTTCCAGCCCACACGTGTCAGTAGGAATGTTAGGGGTATTTTACCATGTCCTTCTCCCATTAAAAATTCTTTGTATTTATATCCCTATGATAACTTTATTTCATTTTCCTCCACTTTCTATTGCAAACCTCTTTAAGAGTGTACAATGGAAACTGATGAACTCTTTGGCCTGGGATATACTCTCTTCAAATGCTGGCTGTTTCTCACTTCCCAGGTCGCCACTTCTAACTTCCCACTCTCTCCCTCCGTATCTAGGAGTAGCCTCACAACCTTCTCACAGCCCAGTGTTTCTTTTCTTAGTCTTAAACAATTCTGAGAAAAATTTCCTCCTACTTACTTATTTTTGGCAACCCATTTATCTGACCATTCTTACTGTACATTTTTGTCTCCTCACTGTCTTTGATTCCTTCCACCTTCTGGAAATCAAGAATTCTACAGACAGAACCATATTTCATATTTATCTCTCTGCTTTTCCCTCTGAAAACCAAGCTTGCCGTTTGCTCTTTCAACACCATTTTCTCTCACCTTCCTCTGTTATTACTCTTACACCTTTCTTTTACCAACATCTTGCACTGTTAGCTCTCCTTTATCTTTTTACTAGTTCTTCTGAAAGCCTCCCACCCATATCTGATATTTTTTACAATTAATTTTTCTTTTAAAAACATTTTTTATTGAGTTATAGTCAGTTTACAATGTTGTGTCAATTTCCAGTGTACAATTAATTTCTATCATCATCCTTGATAAATTCAGAGGTGACACCCCTGACATTGATTATTCCACATACATAGCTGAATTGTAGGAATCTACACAAAATAAGTAGCATTTTATAATTACACCATGAGGATGGTCTATAACATGTGTGGCTATCTGTCTCAAGGAACCACCAAAAAGGTTTGGAGCTTCTTACTTAGCAAGCAGAAGGATTTATAAAGGCACAACTTAGCAGACAGAAGATAAACGCTACTAGGAAGTTAATCATTCTTCAAGATTCTTTCCTTTAAGGTAAATTCAATAATTCTGCCAAGTTACTCAAAGCCAAATTTTCCATGTCAGGGTCCCTCTTACTCTCTTACTGCCTGCTCCACAGTATTCTGACACTATCTTCACTAGACACCAAAGGAGCGGTGGTTCTGTTTGCCTAGTTCCTAATTCTGACAGAAGTTACCCACCACATTTCTTGCCTATTTCCTTTTACTTTCTGAGGAAAGATTTGCTTAGATTCCTATTCTCAGTTCAAGAACTACTTTCTTTACAATCTCCTCAGCCTTACACTTGGATTCCATCTTTAATGTATTATTTAAGCCAGTCTGAGACATTTAGTCACCCAAAGTACTTTCTTATTTCCGTATTCAATAATTCTTAAGCAGTATCTTGAATCATTAACTCAATCTTTTAACATACTAAGTGCAACATACAGCTGGCATGCCAAAACCTTATGCAATAAAAAAAGGTATTTCTTCCTTCATTCAATTTTTTAAATTAACCTTTGTATTGCAATATAATATACATACAAAAAAGAAGACAAGTCTCATATGTACCACTCAATAATTTTTTAAAATTGATCACACCTGTATAACCACCCTCCAGGTGAAGAAATAGAACAGCTCCTGGGAAAACACACTTCGGGGCCCCTCCCAATCATTCTCCCATTCATTCTATCCAAAGGTAATCACTAATCTGTTTCCTTTTTGATTTTCTGTCTGGATGATCTATCCATTGTTGAAAGTGGGGTATTAAAGGTCCTCACTATTGTTGTAGTGCTGTCTCTTTCAGGTCTGTTAATATTTGCTTTATATGTTAAGGTGCTCCAGTGTTGGATACACAAATATTTACAACTGTTATATCATTTCGATGAATCAACTCCATTACTATTATATAATGACCTTCTTAGTCTCTTGTTACAGTGTTTGGCTTAAAGACTACTTTGTTTGATACAGCTACCTCTGTTTTCTTTTGGTTTCCATTTGCATCAAGTACCTTTTTCCATCCTTCACTTTCAGTCTATATGTGTTCTTAAAGGTTACATAAGTCTGATAGGCAGCATATAGTTGGGTCTTGTTTTTCATTCATTCAACCAATCTATGTCTTTTGACTCTAGGATTTATCCCACTTACATTTAAAAGTAATTATAGACAGGTATGAAATTACCATTGCCATTTTGTTAATTATTTCTGGTTGTTTTGTAGTTCCTCTCTTCATCTCTTGCCCTTTTTTTTTGTGATTTGATGATTTTATGTAGTGGTATGTTTTTATTCCTTTCTATTTATCTTTTGTGTATCTGTTATAGGTTTTGCTTTGTGGTTACCGTGAGGTTTACATAAAACATCTTAGAGTTATAAGATGTTATACATACACACACACACACACACACGCACACACACACACAATGGAATACTACTTAGCCATAAAAAGAATGAAATTTTGCCATTTGCAGCAACATGGATGAACTTAAGAGGGTATTATGCTAAGTGAAGTAAGTCAGACAGGGAAAGACAAATACTGTGTGATATCACTTATATGTGGAATTTAAAAAATAAAACAAATTAGTGAATATAACAACAACAAAAAAAAACAGGCTTACAGATACAGAGAACAAACTAGTGGTTACCAGTGGAAAGAGGGGAGGGGGAAGGGGCAACATAGAGGTAGGGGATTAAGAGGTACAAACTATTATGTATAAAATAAACTACAAGAATATATTGTACACAATAAATATAGCCACAATGAATATAACTATAAATGGAGTATAACTTTAAAAACTGTGAATAACTATGTTGTATACCTATAACTTATATAATATTATACACCAACCAGACTTCAATTTTTAAAAATAGGGTTTAAAAAAGCTCTACATTTTGATACTCTCTCCCTCCACATTTTATGTTTTTCATGTCACATTTATATCTTTTTCATATTGTGTAGTCACTAACAAATTATTGTAGTTATTTGTAATACTTTTGCCTTTTAATCTTTATACTAATCAGTGATTTACCCATGACTATTATATATTAGAGTATTCTAAATTTAACTGTATATTTACTTTTCCCAGTATATTTTACACTTTCATATGTTTTCATGTTACTAATTAGCATCTTTTCATTCCACCCTATAGGAAAAGATATGTAAGGCAAATACTAATTAAACATAAGCTGGAATGCTTCTATCAATATCAGACTAAATTGTCATTAAGACAATAACAATTATTTAGAATAAAGAGAATCTCTACATAATGATAAAATATTTAATCACTTAGACCATATAAACATTATAAACTTGAATGCACCTCATAAAATGGCCTCAAAATCTATAAAGTGAAGATGAAAATAATTACAAAGAGAAAGTGACAGTTCTATTATTGTAGTTGGAGATTCAACACATCTCAACATGACCGTGATAACACATTAGTGAAAAAATAATAGACTTTAACCATACAATTAAATTAGATTTAACACGAATATATAGAACTCTACACTTGGAATATTTACAAAAATTAACTATGTATAGACTATAAAGTAAGTCTCAAAATTTGGTAGCAATCAGACTGTGTTCTCTGAAATTATTATTATTATCATTAACAAACACTTGCATGGTGCTGATTATGTACCAGCATTGTTCTAAGCATTTTCTAATTATCACTTCATTTAACCCTCGTAACAACATGATGAGGTAAGAGTTATTACCATCATCCATCTTCTAGATCAAGAAACTGAGGCAAACAGGTTAAGTAACTTAAGTAACATACCCAAGATCATACAGCTTATAAATGGCGGACCTGGGATTTGCACTGAAGGAGTCCAGCTTTAAAGTTCATACGCTTAATCACTTTCTTCTGCTGCCTCGTAAGTCACAATTAAACTAGAAGCAAATATCAAAAAATAATCCTCTTCCTCTTCTATTAGACTAAAAAGTATGCTTCTAAATAACTTATAGGTCAAAAATCAATAAATAATTGAGTTTTTAAAGTTTCTTAGAATTGAAACTAGTGCATAACAAAACTTGACGGAGATAAACATTCCAAAGGAAATGTACTGCTTTAAATAGATACTTAAGGAAAGAAGAAAGGATGCAATAATTCTAGGAAGTATAAAAGTAACATATAGCAACACATCAGTGGTTTCCTGGGGTCAGATGGGATGGGGAAGGGCAGGGGGGAGGGGTTACGAAGGGAAACAAAGAAAATTTGGAGGATGATGGATATGTTCATTATCCTGAACTTGTCAAAGTGGAGTCTTTCTTAAAATTTTTTTTGGAGGAGAGGTAATTAGGTTTTTACTTATTTATTTGTTTTAATGGAGGTACTGGGGATTGAACCCAGGAGCTCATGCATGCTAAGCACACATTCTACCACTGAGCTATACCTTCCCCACAAAATGGAGTCTTCAAACTGTTTATTTTATGCCAATTATACCTCAATAAAACAACTTTATAAATGTGTGCATAGGGGAAAAAACATAAATGTTACATATGAGTGTAAAGTGAAAAGTAAAAGTCCTTTTGCATTCCCCTCCTACCACCACTAATGTCTTTGAAGTCTTCCATAAGGGACTTCCCAAGCATATCCAAACTCCCATTCCTCCAAGGAGGTAATAACTGTTCTAAATTTTATATTTATTATTCTCTTACTTTTTGTTTTCATTTTACTGCCTATTACATATTTTAAACAATCTGTTGTTTAAATATATATATCCTAGAATATACATACAAGTTATATCATATCATACTGGATATATTTTGCACCTTGTTTTTATTATTCAATATTATGCTTTTGAGATTTAACCTTGTTGATAGGTAAGGTAAACTTAATTCAACACTTTGCTGCATAATAGCATTCCATTATATAACTATGTGCAATAATACTGTACCCACCAGCCACGTGTGGCTATTGAGCACTTTAGTTCATCTAAATTTTGATAGCCACATGTGACTAGTAGCTATGTATTTAACAGTGCTCTGCTAGAGTATATACCCAGGAGTAGAACTGCCGGTTCTTACAATGTGCACATATTCTATTTTAGGAAATCATAGCAAATTGCTTTCCAAAGTGTTTTTACTCCCACTCACAGTGTGTAGGAGTTTCTGTGGGTCTACAACTTCACCAACACTCCTAGTATCAAACTTTTAAATTTTTGCCATCTATTGAGTCTTGTATCTATTGAAATTGTATCTTCTTGTGGTTTTAAGTTCATTTACTTTCCACAATTGTAAATGAGGTTGAGTATCTTCTTATTGTTTATTGATTGTGTATACTCTTCTATAAAATGCCAGTCCATGTCTTCAGCCTATTTTCCTAATGGATTGGAGTTTTTGTTATTGTTTTATTCATAGATATGTTTTATATTCTTTCTATTATTATTTTATCAGTTACATGTGTTGCAAACATATTTTCCCAGTTTGTTACTTGACTTACCATGTTTAGTGTCCTTTAATGAACAAAAGTTTTAAATTTTCAACATTGCTGAATTTATGCTTATGAGTTTAGGGTGTTAAGAAATCCTAGCTTGAAATTTGAAACTTCTAAAAATACAGAAAAACTGGATCATTCACACCTTGCTAGTGATAATGTAGAATGGTACTGCCACTCTGAAAAAGAGTATTGCAGTTTCCTTAAAAAAAACCTGTACATGCAAATACCATATAACCCAGCAACTGCACTTCTGGGTGTTTATTTCAGAAGACTTGTGTTCACACAAAAACTGGAACGCAGATGTTTCTAGCAGCTCTATGCATAATAGACAAAAACTGAAAACAACTCTGTGAAGAAAAATATATTTGGTCTCTGCTCCCAGTTCCTGACACAGAGTTCCTAAAACCCTGGTAATTTCCTGAGTGACAGGGGTGTTCGGAACATCTTTTGTTCTAATATTTAGTCTTTGATCCTGGTTCCTGACATAGACCTCCTAAACCCCTTGGGGTTCCCCGGATGATAGGAGCACTTTTTGTTCTCATGAGGTGACTCTCGGTGGACTCGTGGACAGCTGTAGGATGGGTGCTGGTCACCAGAAAGACCAAGCCATGATTAGAAACTTGAGACTTTCAGCTCCAATCCCCAGCCTCTGCAGAGTGGAGAGGGGCTGGAGATTGAGTTGGTAAGCGATCATGCCTATGTAATGAAGCCTCCGTAGGAAATCCCCGCACTATGGAGTTTGGAGAGCTTCTGGATTGGCAAACACAGCTACATGCTGGGGCTAGGAGGGTGGTGCATCCCAACTCCACAGGGACAGAAGCTCTGGCACTCAGGACCCTTCCAGACCTCGCCCTGTATATCTTTTCATCTGGCTGTTTATCTGTATCCTTTATTATGCACTTTATAATAAACCAGTAAACAAAAGTATTTTCATGAGTTCTGTGAGCCACTAAAGCAAATTGTCAAACCTGAGGATGGGGTTGTGGGAACTGCCAATTCATAGTCAGTTGTTCAGAAGTATGGGAAGCCTGGGTTTGTGACTGGTGTCTGAAGTAGGGAGCAGTCTTGTGGGGATGAGACTTTTACCTGTGGGGTCTGCACTAACCCTGGGTAGTTAATGTCAGAATTGCTTGATGTGAGGGGGGAAACCCCACATATTTGGTGTTTGAAGTGCTGTGGGTAAAATAGAGGACATAGTATTTTCCCTTAAAACTTAGAAGTCCTTTACCAGTTAAACAGATAAACAAATGGTGGTACATCGACACCATGGAATACTACTCAGCAATGAAAAGAGGTGGGTACTGACATGTGTAACAATCTGGATGGACCTGCAGAGAATTTTGTTGAGTGAAAAAAGCCAATCCCAAAAGGTTATATCTGTATGACTTGATTTGTATAACATTCTTGAAATGACAAAAGTGTAGAAATGGGGAACAAATGAATGGTTGCCAAGTGGTGGACTGAATGGGGAAGGAGGTGGTTGTAGCTATAAAAGGGTGATATGAAAGATCCTGGTGTTAATGTTCTGTACCTTAAGTGTATCAATATCAAGTGATTGTGGTGTCTCAATATAGCCCAGCTCAAAGGTTTTCAACAAAGTGAGTGTGAATCAGAACCATCTGGGGAGCTTTTAAATAAACACACAGCCCTCCACTGGAGTGGGACGGTGTGAGTGCAGGTATTTTAAAAAAGCTTATCAAATGATTTTGCTACTCACACACATTACTTGATGGTGCCAGGGTGCAGGTCCTTAGAGACATTAGATAAAGAAGGATAAGCAGGAGAGTCCTGTTTTAGGGAAAATGGCAAAATAAAGGATTAAATTGGGGGAAACTGGATAGAGGAAACCTTGTGAAGAAGCTATTCCCATAGTACAGATGAGGGATGATGCAGATCTGGACGGTGGTGCTAGCTGCAGGGACAGGATTCTGTTAAGTTTATGTCACAAAAAAGGAGCTTAACTTCTCAAGCAAGCATCTTAACCAGTATTGACAGTAATCCCCAATGTCCATAGCTGGGTAAAGGATATATTTTTAGGTCTGCAACAAAATAATTACATGGTCTTGCCTTGCGAAATTAGCAAGTGTCCCCACCACAAGAGAGAATACCCATCCCCTTCCCAGGGGTCCACTCCCTTTCTCTGAGGCACATTTAGTTCCAGAAGGACCTGATGAGACCCTTTATCAATGACCTCACCTGCCCCATCTCCCAAGTCCCGCATTTTCTCTGAAAGGTCCTTGTAACTCAGATTCAAAACCACTTATCTAGACAAGGCTGCTAAACAGATACTTCTCTTCTAGACTTGGCCCAACTTCCTCTCCTCCTGGAGACCAGAAAGCACACCTGGACAGAGTCAGAGCAGGACACTCTGCTGTGACCTCTCTGGCCACAGCCTTTTGAGTGGTCACCTGTCATGAGCAGTATTCAAAACCAGGAACCAAGGTGTGGTCCAGACTCCTTTAAGCTCCAGGGTTTGGGGGCTCCAGGTGAGTCCCCAGAGAAGAGTCCAGAAGAAGAGGATGGAAGAGGGTTGGTCTGCCATCGGGGGGTGGGGGCAGATTCCTCGTCTGCCTCATTGTCAGCCCTATGCTTCAAGGTAAGATGGGGAGAGAACAGGGAAAGATAGGAATGCTTTTCTGGGAAAAATCTGAAAACCCTCTCATCCCCAGAACTAGAAAGCACCTAAAATAGCTGGGTTAAACACTTCCTTTCTATGTAGTATCTACGTTTTGTCTTCTTTTGGGGACAGATGAAAAACCCCTCTCACTGATCGATACACGCAGCCCCTTCTTATTTGCCTGCATAAGTATCAACCAACTTGTCTATTCTCCCATTTTACCACCTCTCTGTTCCCATCCCTTTATGATGTTCAACTTTCCCTTTCTACCAAGATTAGTAACTATGAACAGGGTAGCTTGGGTCCTGTTGACAGTAACATAATTCCTTCCCCACCTTACTTGGGAAGATCTTGTAGAGGAGGGGATGTGCAGGGGAAAGGATGACATTTGCTTCCGCGGAGATATGTTTCTCCTTAGTTTGGAGGTGTACCTTGTGCATTAAGTGGTATGGGGGAACAGTAAAAGAGACACGGGAATGGGAGAGAACTTGCTGGGCTATGACTACAGGAACAGCCACAGAGGCATCTGGGCTTGGGATGCAGGCGAGGTGGCCAGAAGGGCTTTTACATTTCATCATCCAGCTCCATCAACCACATAGTGGATGATCAGTGAGGGCTTGTCAAGCTGAAGATGCTGGAAATGCCTCCCACAGATCTTGGAGGAAGTCATTGGATTGAAGAAGGTCACAGAGCACAGAACACTGTAAGTAGTCAAGAAATTCACACTGAATATTACATTCCTTAAGTCCCCACCCATATTACACCACACTCATGTTTACTTCTCTCCAAACTTTTCCTTTAGGAAATGAGAAAACATGAAAGTGGGAAGGGAATATTGAGAAACAAAATTTTAGGGGAATTTTGTTTGGTGTCTGTGAGGTAGAATCATAATAGAGCTAGAGAGAAAAAAGCATGGTCAGACAAAACCAAAACTTTAGAGTTACGACTATGAAAGGCACAGGCCTCCCCAGAGAGGCTGTTTGCATACAGATGTGGGTAGGCCTATCTGGGAGCAAAAGCACAGGAAGAACGGTCTGAGCCCTGACTCAGCTCACCACATCGACTTCCACCATTTGCCTACCAGCCCAGCCCATCCTCCCCAGCCTTGGCAGGAAGAACGTGGCCTTTGTTAGTCTTGGCCCAGGAAGGAGGGACTCAAATGCTCACCCCATGCCTACATTTTGTTTCTCTGAAGAGAGATTCTCAGGCCCCAGCCCTGGCATTCCTCTCACTTAGAAAACACAAAAACCCTATTCCATCTCACAGGGTCTCTGCTCTCTGCAGGAAAGGCAAACACTTTCGCCATCAATTGCGCAGCTTTGACCAGCATGGGGTAGACCCTGCTGTCTTCCAGGCTATATTTAACCAGAAGGACTTCTGTCCAGTCATCAACTATAGCATCTCCACTCACGTCAACATCTCCCTCACCCTGTCTGCCACCCTGGAAGCGGTGAGTTTGGACTCCTACATTCTTCCCATAGGCTGCTAACAGGAAGCAAGAACCCTGTCAGCCCAACACTGCACCTGTCTGGTGGTGAGCAGTGAGTTCCCTGAATGGATTCTATACAAGCTAGATGTTCACCTTTGGGGTGGAGGGACATGAAGCGGAATGCTGCAGTGACATTTCTGTAGGGACCATTTGTCCTTGAGTCTTGCTCTTATGGGAATAACCTATTAAAAAACAGATTCCCAGTGGGCTCCCCTGCTGTTTTTTCCCTCCAATCTCTATACCACCTGCATTTTTCTGACCTTTCTTTTGGGACTTGTAATTGAAAAGCTGAACTGTCACATGGGACCACTTAGGAAACAAAGGTAAGGGGTAGACTAGGACCTAATTTCATGACAGTAATGATCCTGGATGGGTATTCTTTTTTGTCAGTATGCACAACTTCAGCTGCGGACGTCATTTCTGTGGTTAAAGTTGGTATGTAAGCTCAGCTTTCTTCTTCCCTCTTTCTCCTTGTCTGATTTTCTGGCTCTGTTTGCAAAAATCACATTTTGTTGAAATTGACAGGGCCCAAGAGAATACCAAATCCAACCAGAATGGGGCTAGTGCTGGTGACAAATTACTTTCTGGAAGGCCAATTAACTTTGAAAGACAGATGGATAAAACAGGAAGGAGGGCAATACAGTTGGAAGCCCCTAAATAAGCTTCAAGTCCCAAATGTATCTAGCACCTAGCTTAAGAGTTCCTTTGAGCAGGAAGTGAAAGGCCAATAAGATTTTGTTAGCCAGAGAAGAGGGACACTATCACCAGAAAGGGAAGAGGAATCAGAGTTTAAAAGGAAATGTGGTTTAATAAACAAACAAAGCACAATGCATAACAATGTGCACAGTATGATTCTATCTGTATAAATAAAAATGAATACTGGAATATTTGTTTTTTTCCTAGAATGATATACAAGAAACTGTTAGTATTGGGACTGAGTTGGGGGTATGAACTGAGTTGGAGTGAACTGAGGAGGCAGAAAATTACTTTTTATATTATACCTTTCTGGAATGGTTGAAGTTTTATCATACACCCATAGTACATACATTTAGAAAAAAAGTACATACATATGTATGCATTTTTAAGGGACTGGAAGGGCAGGAGATGTTGACATAAACTAGCTCCAGGTTTCACCTATAACCATCCCTTTGGGCCCTGTGCTCTAGATCTAGAGTCACCCATCTGTCAGCTGGGTCACCAGAAGAATGTGGTGATATCAACAAACTCACTGTGACAGCTGAGAACATGTGGCTCCCAGACATCTTCATTGTGGAATCATGGGTATCAGGGCGGGGTAGAGCTGGGGGGAAGACCCTTCTGCAAGGAGCAGGCCAGAGCAATGCAGGGCAAACCCAGGCACCTGGGCCACTGAAAACTTATTTCAGGGAGGAGCACAATTGCAGCTCATCAACTTATCCCCTAGGAATGAGAAAGTAGTAGGCAGAAGAGATGGTGGAGTGGCAAAATGGGAAAGTACTGCCTTAACGACAAAATTTAAACTGATGTGAAACCCAGAGCATCTGCCTCCCTTCCTTTCTGTTACTTACCATGGATGTGGATCAGACCCCGGATGGCCTCTCTACATATGTGATGATTGACGGTCACATTGCATATAACAAACCAATGTGGGTGACCAGCATCTGCAGCCTGGACATCTTCTACTTTCCTTTTGACCAACAGAACTACATGCTCACCTTCAGCTCTTTCCTCTACACAGGGGAGTTGCAGTGGGGGTTCTCACATGGGGTGAAAAATGAGATCAACCAGTGGGACAACAAAAAAGCACACAGAAGTCTTTTTTTTTAATGCACAAAAAAGGGACATGGAGTATTTGCTAAATGAGGGTGTGTGGATGGTGGGGTGGGAAGGAGTTGAACATAGGAGGGGACAAGACTTCCTGAGAAAGCCCAGAATTGAAAGGAGGCAATTGGGCGCCAAGGAAGTCATGTTAGTGGGCCATCTCTCTCAGAGTGGGTGCTGAACAGATGTGTGCCAAGTGAGTGTTTGTCTCCCCTGCAGTGGAAAACATGTTGCTGGGCATGGACAAGGAAGTGTGGGAGATAACGGACACCTCGCGTGACACTGGCCACACACAAGGGGAGTGGGAGCTCCTGTGTATCTACAAGGCCACCCCGAAGATGTCTGTGGGCTCCAGTTTTTTTGACCAGATCATGTTCTGTGTAAGGCCAGAGATTCTGGCATGGCTGTCCACCCCCATACCTCTCTCATTAGACCCCTCTAAGTCCCAGAGCCTCCCACTTCTCGCCCTAAGACCAGAAAGCCCCTAGGCACCATTACCTTCACAGCCTTCCTCTCTCGAGTCCCCCAAAGCAGCCCTCCTCTCTGAATCTACCAGCTCTGGCCTAAGTTTTCTTTGGTAAGTATGGGGAGTCCTGTTAGTCATATGAAAGCTGCTCTTCATCCAGCCCCAGAAAAAGCCCTGCTTGGGTGAGGACGTCAAGGAAGGAAGGGGCGGAATCATCCCTTTGGTCTCCCTTTATTCCTAGTCTCCCCTGGCTCAGTGCTCTCTCCTCCCCACAAGGTGGCCATAAGGCACAGGCCCACCCTCTACGCTATCAACTTTCTGGTGCCCAATAGTTTTCTGATGGCCATCGACACCCTCAGCTTCTTCCTGCCAGCAGAAACTGGGAACTGTGCCCCATTCAAGATGACACTTCTGCTGGGCTACAACATCTTCCTGTCCACGATGAGCAACTTACTCCCTGCCAGTGGCACCTCCCTCCTCAGTATGGTCCCCATCCCACTGTTGGAAAAAGGCAAAAAAGGAGGCAGGGTAGGCAGGTGAACTGGCTAGATCAGCAGAGGCAGCTAAGGCAAAGGGAGAAAGTGGTCACCTTAGAAAAGGTTCTCTGTGTAAGACAGAGGAAAGAGGGGCTTGGTGGTTCCTCTGGACCTAACTCACTCAGTGTACGCCTTCCTGCCACCCAAGTGTCTACTTTGTCCTGTATCTGTCGCTGATGGTGGTCAGCCTGCTGGAGACCATCTTCATCACCTACCTGCTGCACCTGGCCACCACCCAGCCCCCACCCATGCCTCGCTGGCTCCATTCCCTGCTTATGCGCTGCACCAGCCCAAGGAAGTGCTGCCCCATTGCTCTCTGGAAGGAGAATGTGAGCCTTGGCCTCACACCCATCCACCTGCCTGGTAAGGGAAGTCTGCACTGGCCACACTCCCTGCACTAGGCCCAACTTCCCAGTCCCTCACTTCTCTAATCCTGCCTCCTTCCCACTTCATGGCTGAGTCTGTCTTCTCCACAGGACAGAAGGAGCCGGGGGAGCTAGGCGGGAAGGAGCTGGGATCCAGAGAGGCAGAGCCGAATGGGGGCTCAGGACTGACAAGGGCCCAACTAGCTGACTGGTGGATGCAGTTCAGCCGCCTGATGGACACCCTGCTCTTCCGCCTCTACCTGCTCTTCCTGGCCACCTCCATCACCACGGTCATCGTCATCCGTAACACCTAGCAGTAGAGTTCTAACAGTGCAAGAACACTCGGTGTTCAGGTTTCCTCAGCTTCAGCTGACCATCCCAGACCCTGTTCCTCTGCTCCAGTCTGCGTACAATGGTCCCAAATGAGTCCACAATCCTTTCTCTGGCCCTCCCTGGGCTTAAACAGAACCACTGCTGCAGACTCTCAGAAATGACATTATATTTCCAGAAAACAATGAATTCAGAATATTTATGTGATTACATTAGAAATATAATTTTTACTGGAAAAGGAAGGCTTTATAATAAAGACTATAGGGGGAAGGTATAGCTCAGTGGTGGAGTCTGTGCTTAGCATGATGAGGTCCTGGGTCCAATAACCCAGTACCTCCATTAAAACAGAATAAAAAAACTACCACCCCCAAAAAACTTAAAAATTAAGGCTACAAATATTCACTAAAAAAGTAACTCATGTTACTGGAGTAGGGATGAAATCTCTGTTAAAAATAGGCTAAAATATTTATTATTTTAACAAATATTATTGAGCATTTGCTAGGCACTATTCTGAATTCTGAGGGTACAGCAGTGAACCAAACTGGCAAAACTCTCTATCCACAAGAGCTTACACTGAGGGTGGGTGGAGACAGTAAAGAAGATGGCAAGTGAAACAGAGAGTATGTGCTAAGCACCAAGGAGAAAAAGCAAATCAGGGAAGGCAGAACGGGAATATAGGGAGGGGGCTGCAAGTTTAGGAGGGTGGCTGGGCTGGCTCCTGTGCATTATGCCACAATAATGCCAGCTGGAGGCTATTGTAACCCAGTCTTTCACGGGAGGCTCTGAGGTTATGTAACTTGTCCAAGGTCATGCAGTTCTTGCTATTTTTAGTTGTTTTTTTGGCGGGGGATAGGCTTCAGGTATGCTTTTAATGAACGTTTATTGAGCCCAGGTGAGGTTATAAACAAATAGTCCTTGGGTAACCCTACTAGAGACTTGCAGAATCGAGCACAAGGCCTGTCCTCAAAGAGCTTGTGGCACAGCCGAAGAAATAAAATACATATGGTAAATGATTTCAATTAAATGTAGTATATGTTTTTAAAATTTTGTTGTGTGCCATGAAAGAGAAACTGCTATAGAGGTGAGGAGAAAGGATTCTTCTAGCTGGAGCAATGGTTCTCAATCCTGGCTGCATGTCAGAATTATCTGAGGAGACTTTAAAAAAATCCTAATGCCCAGGCTTCACCCCAGACCAATTAAATCAGAACTTTGGCATGTGCCCTGGCTTTGGTATGTCTGACTGCTCCCCATGTGATCATGTGCAGCCAGAGCTGAGCTAGGGGTTAGGAGAGCTTCATGCGGAGGAGGCAGTGAGCAGAATGTGTGAACAGATGGAGGGATGTGACTGGTCACAGTACACCTCCGGGGTGACATTTAGGCAAAATCACAGCAAATGGGCCTCATGGGATCCAGGGGTTTGTGCAGCAGTGAATAGTGGGATCCAAGCAGAATCCCAACATGCTCATTCTCATGGTACTCAGGCAGCTCAAGTGTCCAGAACAAACTCATAAAACCATCTGCCAGAAATAGCCCCCAGTAGAATGCAAAATGGTGCAGACACTTTGGCACAGTCTGGCAGCTCCTCAAAGTATTGAATACAGAATTACTATAGGACTTAGCCATTCCATTCCTAGATGTACACCCAGGAGAAATGAAAACATATGTTCACACAAAAATGTGTACTCAAATGTTCATAGTGATGCTATTTATAATAGCCAAAAAGTGGAAGTAACCCAAGTGTCTATCAGCTGAAGAATGGATAAAAAATGTTATATATCCATACAGTGGAATATTACTTGGCCATAATACTTGGCCATAAAAAGAAATGAAGCACATGATACAGGCTACAACATAAATGAACCTTGAAAAAATGCTAAGAGAAAAACCAATCACAAAAGACCACATATTATATAATCCCATTTACATGAAATGTCCAGAATATGCTAATCTACAGAGGCAGAAGATAGATTAGTGGTTGCCTAGGACTTGGTGGGGCAAAGGGGCAGGTGAGTGAGGAATAAATACTAATGGGTACAGGATTTCTTTGGGGATAATAAAAAATGTTCTAAAATTAGACTGTGGTGATGATTGCATAACTGCAAATATACAAAAAATCATGGACTTGTGTGCTTCAAATGGGTGAATTCTATGGCATATAAATTATATCTCAGTAAAGGTGTTAAATGACAACAAAAAATAAATAACCTCACCACAAAATTCTCTCTGCCCACCACTTCCTGCTTATTCTCTCATTCCGCTGCTCCCTACTGCCATCTCTCCGTCTCTCTGACTCCTGGATCCCTATATTTAGCTTTCATGTGTGTCTGCCCCTGGCCCTCCTCCACCTTTGGATGACTCACTGGGGGCTCATGGACCTCAGCTCCCTGCTCACCTGTCAGCTCTACATGCTTCCTTGATGTTGACAACACCCACAACTTCAGTTCACACACAGCTTCCACCAATTCTAATTATGTAAAACCCTCACAGCCAGACCAGCTCAGGCTCCTTGATAAGAGACAGAGATTCACACATTAGACCTAAGACAAGTTCCCAGAGCTTTGGACTATTTCCCAAGAGGATGGAGGAGGTTGGGGGATGCAACGAAGAATAGCAGCCCTGCTTCACTTTCTGCAACTGAAGAACTAAATACAAGGCTGGGGTAGCTGATAATCCCCACTGGTCAGCTGGCAGTGCAACATGCCATTAGGCTTAAATGAGGGCTTCTGCTTCAATGGACCATCCAATCATCGGTCCCCAGAACAACAACATGGAATGAATGAATGAGAAAAGCACTTATTCATTATTTAGCCAATCATTACTAAGAGCTTACTTATATACTAAACATTCTTGTAAGTGCTGAGGATATGGCAATGAATAAGACAAGAGGAGACTGATTTTCTAAAGTAACAGACTAAGTAAAATTATTTCATATACTAGTAATTGTTCTAAAACAAAACAAAACAAAAAACAAACAAAAAAAAAAAGACCAAAAACCCAGGGTAATAGGACAGAGAATGACACAAAAATTAACAGGATGTTCCAGGAAGACCTCTCTGAGAAAGTGACATTTGTGCCAGTTGAGAAACGAATGAGGAGATAATGATGAGATGTGTCCTGGGATATCACACTAATATATCATCAGGAGACATTAGGATGAAGCATGAGAGACAGCTCCGCATTTATGGAGGTAGATCAGGGTAGCCAGGACCTTTGGATGAGCAAAGTGAGAAATTGGAAGAAGAGTCCCATGTTGGTTATTTTGTTGCTAATGTGTAATGTTTAAGGATTGTGAAGCTAAGCATTTATAATCCACTCAAAGAATTTAGAGCAGTATCTTGTAAAGAGTTTAGATCATAGAATTCGTCTTACTCACCCATGCATAATGCCTCACTCGAATAAGAACTGCTGATAATACAGAATTGAAAAGGAAGAAAATTAAAATTACAGCAAACATTGCTATAATTACATATGGATTGGCTTAGCATATACTATATAAGAAAATGAGATTACATGTGTCTTTTAAATTAGAAAACAATGCCCTATAAACTCTAAAATAGGCAATATTTTTATTACACTTGTCTTGATATTATACTAAAGTTATTTACCTAGCTTACACTCTCTGAAAGTTCATCACCAATATAATATCACTACACAAGCAGATTTGGGGGGAATTTGTATACATTCATTTTATAAGTGGATTTACAATAAGGTATACATTCCTGAACCACGAGGCAAAACTACTTTTTTTAAGCAAAGGTACTTTTGATGAAAATATGCATTGCAACACAATGAAGGGGGAAATCAAACAATCCACATGACACTGAATAGATAATGATGAAACAAAACTAGCGCTTCATTATTAAAAAGCAATAATAACAACTCAACCACCTCAGGTCAATGCTACTAACACATTGATGATGAAAAGCCCTGGGAACTGAGAGAATTCCAACAGTCCCCATGTCTGTCTGCAGGCAGGAGCTTTTTATCTTTCCCAGAGAATATAGGATCTTAGTAGAATGCCAAATTTGAATCCTGGGGGCACTTGAGCAATACGTGAATTTTAGCTTACAAATGCCTCATTTTAGCAATCCTAAATTAGCAGGTCCTTAGTGATTTGTAAGGCAAGACCTGAAGGGAAGACCTGAAGAAAGGAATTGGATTCGAGTCCCTCACCACCCACTAGTGGGAATCCTACCAGACCCCTCTGAGTGACCCTAGGGTACATCAAAAGAGCATAGTACGCACAGATACGTACATTGCCCATAACTTCCTGACTAGAATTTGGACACATTGTTAGATTTTTTTTTGTGATTTGTAAAATTATTTATATGAAGAGCCTTATAAAATCTATAAATAAAAGTACATTCATAGATGCAGTGAATTGCCTTTATTAAAAGACATAGTTAAGAATAAGAAAACTATTATATCTATGTATGTGTATGACTGAACTATTATGCTGCATATCAGAAACTGACACAACATTGTAAACTGACTATACTTCAATTAAATTAATTAGTTTTTAAAAAGACATAGTTACATTAAAAAAAATAAAAGTTGCAAAGAAAACAAAGAACAAGTATCAACTAACATGTACTTGTGATTTTCATCATTGACCTGCTGTTGAAGTTGATGAGTTTATGAACTATTATTCCATTGGTCCTTGTTGAGGACAAAAATTCTGCATGTTTGAGTATTGATGGGTCTAAAGTAAAACAGACATAGTGGCTTCTGCTGTTTTCAATAAAAGGTTGTTAGTTTAGGCCTTTCCTTGATCTGGACATAGAAAAATTATTTTCATAATAATAGCCATCATTCACTGAGTACAGTTGACCCTTGAACAACATGGGTTTGAACTAAGCAAGTCCAGTTATACAGATTATGTTCAATAGTAAATTCTGCAGTACTACACAAACCGAGGTTAGTTGAATCTGGGGTTGGCTGAATCTGCCAATTTGGAACTGCAGACACAGAGGAACCATGGATACGGAGAGCCGATCTTAAGTTACAAGCAGATTTTCAACTGCACAGAGGGCGGC